TCAGGCTTGTCGGAGAAATCCCGACGGCGAAGCCAGGAGAGTGGTCGCCACGTGGAGCGGCGTGGTTTGGCCGTGGTTCCGACGCGTCGCTTCCGCGATCGATTGGTTTAGAACGCTCGCCGCGTCCGGCGTTAGCGTTTGCTGTATAGTTCCGAGGTCTGTCCTCATCTTCTTCTTTTGTCTCTGTCTCTGATTTTTCAAATTACACACAAAGGCTGTCCCTTGTTTTCTTTCTTCTCCTATTCCACAGAAAATATCCCACCATTAAAGGGCTATGCAAATGCCGAAGAAATGAAGAAACAAAAAGGTTGAATTTTTGTGAGATGGGAAGAAAATATAGGATTAAAAAAAGAGAGGGTTTTTTTTATAAAACAAACACAGATCAAAAGCTTTGTTTGAATGCACTTCACTTCTGGGTTTGTTCTGTTTTGTCTGAGAGAATCAAAGAAGAAGAAGAAGAAGAAGAAGGATTCGACATGGAAAGGAAACAGCACAGTTTGCTTGATATACACAAACAATACAATCTGCTTGAATTACGAAACTACCCCCATGTATTCAGAAGAGACGTACTTGACGACCCCATTAATAAACTTGCACTTTAATTTTGGGGGTTGTGTTGTGTCTATATTTATCCAATAACTTCAATTAAAATTATTAAAATACCATTTATATATATAAAAAAAATTGTAACAAAAAGCTTTTAAGAAAATAATGCAAATTATGCCAAGTGCTAAGAATACGTCAGAGGACGAGCATGAATTCTTTTGTTTTTTTCCATACCACAAGGACAAAAGATATGCTCCCTTTTTTTTTCTTGTAAGAACAGGGTATCATGCTCTGTTTTCTATGTCATCTTTCGGAATTTAATGAACTTTCGAATTCTTTTTTTTAAAAAATATATTATTTCCTGCTCGGAAAAGGTCGTGGATTTTTTTTTTAAAAAAAAATCGCTTAAAACAATATATTTTGTATCGATTTGACAAGTACATGTTCCCATGGCAGGGTTTTGAGTCATATGAAATGAACCGAGACGACAAAAACAATTCCATTTGCTGGAAATTGCTAGACTGTTGAAAACCAACTTTTTCTCCCAAAAATATTAATATTCATGAATATTATATATTTTTTTATAATTATTAGAACGTTAGAAGAGCCGTGAAAAATGTTAGCACCAACTAACAAAGTTATGATGACACGATTCATGCTCATGCCTAATAATGAGGCTTTTTTTCTCTCTCTTTTGGAAACCATGTACAATTGGTCCTTTTCAGTACATAATTGTATTATAGCTTTTTATCAATTTGATGTTAATCTAATTGTGTAATTAAACAGTTCATTGAAAAGTTAATTGGCCCGAAAGTTATATGATTGTCTATTTATTTTACTTTTTTTTCATGGGTTTATTTAGGTTTTGTCCCCTTTTGCAGCACGTATGAACAATTGAACATTATATATTAAAAAATGTATTTACAAAAGATTATAAATATTACAATTATTTTGGAAGACAGAAATAGATGAATTTATCCAATAACAAGAAACAATACAAAGATGGTAAATTAATCCAAAGATAAAGATATAAGACAGCCAATAAATTTATAGTTAGTTAACATAATCCCACAATTATTATTTTGGAGGAATAAAAGGCTATTGGTAAGAAAGAAAAAACATTAAGTTGTCACACATATTCTTTAAATTCGTATTAATTTACTCATGAGATTAAAAAGGTATTTTTTTTATGTCGCATTTGAATAAATGGACTGACCTTTCTTTATTTATTTTTTTCACCCCTTTCTCAAGTTTTTTGGTTACCCCCAAGACAGGATCTGAGGCTTTCATGTAATGATAAGACGAGCGGAAAAATCCGTATTGCTCACGCGCAAAAAGCGCGTGTATCATACAGAATTGATGATCGTACGGTTGTTTTGGTGCCGTGCATTTCACGTGCCAGTTTTCAGTGCGGGAAAGAATTCAAGGCCCTCTTTTATTTTTTTGTGCTTGCCTTTTAAACGAATTTTGTGCTTTTTACACGCAATCGCCACGTAAAGCTTTCACCTTTTCATAGTTTCACTTTCTTTATTTCTCTCCCTTTTTCCTCCATTCAAAAAATATCGATTAAATATTCAATAAAGTTATAAAAAAATATTTTAAAAAAAATGAGAAACTGGTCGATTATTTAGATAAAATATCATTGGTCATGCAGCTTGTGACAATTTAGAGATATATGGGTGCTGTACTGTAAGTGTTATTTTTACTTTCATTATCTATTTTTGTAGAAAATAAATACAAAATATGAAAAGAGTATAAATGACCGAATATAGAATTTATAGTTATTTATATTGTAGTTTTTTTATTAATATATGGATATTTATTGTTTATTTTTTTATTTTGTAACTAATATAATTTTAAATATACTTTAATTGAAAATATTTAGGAAAATGTCTATTTCTCGCGAATCCTAGTCTAATTTTATTTTAAAAATTGAAACTTTTCATAACAATTGCGTAGCTATTACGGTATCTCAAATTTACATTCGTTGCTCCTTGTGTGTTTTTATTGGATAATAATAAATTGTAATGCATAAATTACGTTTTAACGTTGAAATATTTAACGAGAAAGTCGAAAACATTAAATGGGGAGTCAATCAAGTAAAGGTCATCACATGTGGAAACCGACCTATTAATTCAATCATTTAACTTAGACAATCTTTTCCGTAAAAAATAAATACTTTTTCACCAAACAACATTGTCTTCGAATAATAATAATAATAATAATAAAATTAGTTTCACAACTATTTGAAATAATTTTTGATATAAAATTTATAGAAATTTAGTTAAAAAAATACAAAGAAATCATAACTCGTGGATCTAAAATAATATCGGAAGAATTCAAATAATAGTGGTTCTAAAATTCCAGCGAATTCTAAATGTGTAAATTAATAGTAAAAGGAATATATATATATATATATATATATAAAAAGAGTCATAATAGGCTTTTGGTAACGCACGCTTTGCCTTTGTGGATACGCGTTTATCGAGCTCCCTCTTTAACAAACAACTCCTTTTTGCAGCCTTTTTAGACTGCCTTTTCCTGTTATACTCTTCCTTTTCTCTTATCCATTTTCATTCATTTATATATTATATGTATATATATATATATATAATGTGTCCAAATTTTCATTTTTTTTATAATCCTGAATTTCTCCGCACGATTTTGACCCGATTATATCTCCCAAAAAATCGAAAAAATCCATATAAATATTCATCTTTAAATGATGATTGGAACATTGATTGAAAATGAGTTTTAATTCGTTCTTTATCCATTGAGCCACGTAATTTTGAGTACAAATTTTCATCTTATTATTAATATTAATATCCTACACAAAGAAATTAAACATATTGTCAAATTTATGTTTTGATTTGATTCACCAAAAGAAACTAAAATTCAAAAAATAACATTTTACAGAAATATTTATGAAAAAACAATCTTTAAAATTGTATATTTTTTAGAAAGATGAGCGAGGGGTGTTAAATAACATTTTCATCTTGTTGGTTTCAGTTATTTTTTTAAAAAACTTTTTTAGTGTTTTGGGATCTCAATCTAAATATTTCTTAATTTTAAATATAAAAAACTGATAACACGATAAGATTTATAAAATCATAGACAAATTTAGATTTAGAATTTAATTTATTTTAAGATAATAGATTGAATTTGACAAAAAAAAAAGAATCTAAATATTTTGTATAAATAGATTAATTAATTGGAATTAAATATTGATGAAAAATATCTGGACGTCTCGTGCGATATATCGGGGAGAAAATGGAAAGTGTCTTCTTGTAGCGGGAGAAAAAGCTGACGCAACTTTGAATGTTAAAAAAATAAGATTTTGTGTTTTTCAGCTTTCCACATTTATTACCACTCCCAACAATCATACAACTCTTGTCGACCGACTCCTTCTTATTTGTTAAATTACTTTTCTACCCTCTCCTATTTAAATTCTTTAAAATCATTAATTTTCTTTTTTATATATATATATCTTATAATTTTTCTCTATTTTTTTTATGCAATGCATTTAGTATTTGGTTGCACCAACGCAAACTGCCGACAGAAATGTTTGCACCATACGATATGTTTGTTTCAAAAATTGTATTTTCTAGAAAATAAAGCTTCCGGGAAAAATAAATTTAATTTCCTTATTCTTTTAATAAGCATTTTTTGGTAATAATATAAAATACATATATCCGATCACACTGTTATGTCTTCTATATGACGCATATGGATTGACAAAAACATACCGCATCGAATACATGGAATTTTAAATATTTTTCCATCGACATGTATGACTATCTTCACGAATATATATTAGTTAACGTTATTTTTTTATGTAATTCGTTGGGGTTATTTCAATATTCGGAATATTATTTGTTTGGCTATCTCAGGTTTTTTTTCTTTATAATTTTGAAATTTTATGTGATTTAATTTGAATTTTGAAATGAGATCAAACAGCTATATGTTTTATAATCATCGCAATGATCATTATGATAAAGCTGAATTTCTCCTTTTCAAGTTTTTATTTTTATTTTCTCTGCATAGTGGAACCTTTTCATTTATGGGGACCAACTTTCCCGGAAAAAATATTTATTTATTTACAGGTAATATATAACTAATTTGAAATCAAATTATATTTACGAGACTGTTAGATAATCATATGAGTGGGTGAAACCCCGCCCCCCCTACTCAAAGGCTAATTAATGGTGTAGATATTATTGTATTATAGGGGTCCGTTTTTACCTTTCCACTTGCCAAAGCTTCGTCACATTATCAAAAAATTATTTACTTTTAAGTACATATAAAGGGTTATTATTATATAAATTATTATGCCAATCACCCATATATAGATATATAAACTATTCTTTTATTGGTATACAAATTGTTTGTTAAAACGTTCTGAAATTAAAATGGGACAAAAAAACTCAATATAGTCATTAGTCACAACTATCTGTGGATCTTATAATTTGGAAAACGTGCACACGTATATGTAGAAATAACACGGAATGAAAAATATAATGTTAATATCCGATATCAAATTACTAATATGCCCTAATGTTTAATTTTTTTATTACTGAAAAAGAATTCCATTTTGAAAATGTTTAATTTTTAGCTTATAATTTTTTTTGGAAGGACAAAAAGTATATTTTATTATGTTTTGTAGTTGTATTTTATTTTATTTTTACCTATGAGATAGAATAATAACTTCGTCATTATCAAAGGGAAATAAGTTTCTATATATATATAAAATGTATTCTTTTTAATTAATTAAAAAAAAAAGGTTTTGGTAGCTTCTTTCACTTGAAGCAAATTGACTTTTGTGTCTTCCTTTTTTCTCCCTTTTTGAATTGCAAGCATCCATTTCTCTTTTATTAATTTTTTAATCATGGCTTTTAATTATCTTTGATTTTTACTTTTTTTCTTATTTCCTATTCCTTTTTCTTGCCACGCGCGCACACATATATAATATGATACTAAACCCACATTTATGGCTAATGAAGCTAACCAACCTGGAAATTTTATAGACTGATATTCGGGATTAAACAAAATTGGATATATAAATTTCTTATGAAATAGGTTATTCAATATTCATAGTAAGTACTATATGAAAGGTATATATCACACAAATCCGATGTAAAAGTATTTTTATTATTAAATTCTGAAATTGTAATCCTTGCGATTGCAAGTTGTGGTCCAAAAGGAAAACAAAACAAAACAATAATCTGTAATGAACCGAGAAATAGAAGAAAAAAACTCGATTTTAATTAAATGTGTTGTTGTCTCCATGAAAAGACAAAACCCACTTTCAACTGAACCCATTAAATTCATGCGGCAGGGCCCACTCTTGATTATTTCTTTATAATTTGAATAAAATCAAATGTTGTAAAATGCATTTTGGTTTATTCAAATGTCGCATGACCTGCATGGCAAAGAACGACAGTAACCTTTGTAATTACTTTAGAAGATGTGGCTTTTTATTAGATTATTGGATCAATTCATATATCAAACTAATATTGTTATGCATTATTCTTTAGTTATATCAATTATATGATTTAAAAAAAAATTAAGGGCCTGGATTCAAAATTTATAAAAAAAAAATGTAATTGTTTTTCTCATTCATTTGGTGGAGTGACGACCACACCAAAACAAAGTTTTCCCATTTTTAGTTTATATGAAACATTCAACCCTCTTTCTCTCCTATATTTTTTTCTTTTTCCTTAGTTTTAGTATCTCTTTTATATATATATATATATAAGCATTTGTATTATGTTGGTCTGATAATAATACTAGGTTGGAATGGAATCTCCGATGAAAATAAATAAATCGTCCATTTATCTAACATTAATATCCTATTAAATAAAATTTCTACATCGATCCATGTAAACTACCACTAGATTTTTTTCCCTGTTCGTTCACAAATATATCAATGAAATTATTAAAATGAGTGATAAAAAAATATATATAAACAATTTCTCTAACAACAAAACAAGGCAACTGCCATTTCGTTCCTTTTGTGGAGTGTGGATGAATGGACCGTCACAAGGAAATAGCGAAATAATTTGATTTCAGTATGATTATGGATATTGACTAATGAATTTACAAAAACATAAAAATCTATTCCGACATGGTTTCCAAGACTTTGACGTTCGAACATGTATATGATATGACCACGTGTTCAATGTCATCGTTGACGGTCCACGTCATTTGTTAGGGACATCCCACTAGATTTCCCGAAATTATAGAGCACGATATATTATTCACATAATATTGTTCATATAGATATGGTCAATATTCAAACTTCAAATCGATGATGAAAGCTACGCGTTAATTTTTTTTATCATTGCAAAAATACGTAATCACAAATTCTCATATGCTTAAACATTTGAAACTTATGTTATACAAATATAAATTATTTGTATATTTTTTAGACGTAAACTTATATAATTTTATCGATATGGATGATACGAGTGGATACGAGCGGGTCGGATGTTAAAAAGATCAAACATTGAAACTGTATTTATTATAACAAAGATTTTATGAACGAGATTATCTATAGATCGGATTCGACTTTGAATTTTACGATTTCACGGGTAGATTTCTAGATATGCGTAGAAATTATAAAAAAAACTTATATATATATATATATATATTTTTTATTAATGTTAAAATGTATACTTGTGATTTTTAATCCAAATATAAAAATATGTTTTAGAGTTCATGTGTGTGATCCAAATATTTTGGCAAAAAATGAAGGTTTTGACCGAAAAACAAAAGTAAAGATTCAAATGCGGATATTCGCAAGTATCTAAATTCAAAAATCTAAAATTTCAAATACACAATTTGAAAACATCTGAATGGATGGTCTTTGTGCAATTCGGTTCATAATATATATATAAAAAAAGAGGAACATATGCATGGATCATGAATGGAAATATATGTAACTCAGGAATTAGAACCTATAGTTTATAACTTTATATTATGAAATAATATCCAGTAGTAGCCGCAGAAGCTTTGGGCTTGTTAAATTTATGTGGAATATGTTGTAATGGGCCCATAATCTTATGGGCCTCGTTTGCATGAATTATCATTTCTTTGACTACGGTTCCAATCGAGTCAAATAAATTGTCACGTCATTTTATGAAGTATGAGGAATTAATTATATGATTTAAGAATTACACATTTGCCCATCCCGACAAAATGAAAAAACACATTTTTTTTTAGTTATTTTAACCAAACTCATAACTTACATCGCTGTAGTTGCAACCAAAATTTATGGGACACTAACAACATTTCCACTAAATTTTATAAAATCTGTCATTTTCTTTTAAGTTGATGGAATATACGGTCCATATACATATATATACACATATATATATATATATACATCTACCCGTAATAATATATATTTTTTAATAATTTAGAAATTTATCAAATCTTTGATCTAACTATATCTTTTTTGAATATCGAAAAAAAAGAGTTTTGTGTAATTTACATGCTATTCCACAAGATCGGAAATTTATCCAAGACGCACCAAATGATAATATTTATAGATTTTCACGTCATAACAAAATAAAAATAACCAATGGTAAAATTTGCGATGATCAAGAACTAATTAGATCGAAAATAATCATAGGTGAAAATTCCAATAATTTTAGACAATTAACATATTTTTTTATTTTATTTTAAAGAAATGTAGAAAAAAAAAGATGTATAATCGAAATTTTGTATACGGAAGGAGAGGTGGTGGATAATATATTCTAAAGAGCATAGAAGAGAACAAAAGTGAATGCGATGTGGGCAGTGGTTCTTTTTGGAAGATGTTGCGATGCCAATTAATACACATTATATAATTTAAAAAAAATGTTTCTATCAGCTTTTAGTGATTTATTATATTAAAACTTGTTAACCAACAACCATATGAAATTCTAGTTCTATTATATTTTAGATATATTTTATATAAATATCCATACAATGATAAAAAAAATACTGAATCACTAGACGAATTTTTTTTTAAAATGAAATAAGATTTTCTTGATATAATATTTTTTAGATATTTGGTAACTTTGAAGATAGATTAATTTGTTTGACATAGTTTTTACTCGCTTTTTTTTGTTATTTTCGAATCTAGCTACGAGAAAAGTGAATATAATACACAATTCATGGTATACAAATGGAAATTATCTTCACATTATGAAGGTAAATTTATATATATATATATATATATATATATATATATATATATATAAATTCTAGAA